AACTATACATAAAAAATATCTGCATGAAACAGAAGACGAGCTGAATGAGACGCAGATTCACTCTCTGCCTGCAGGTGGCACTTAAAGTGTTTCCTTGGTTTCCACTGTAAACACAGCAGCGCTGCAGTCATGAACTTTAATATGCATTATGCAGAGGCAAGATGAAAAGAAAAAATACCATCTAAACTCATCGAGCAAAATATTACTAATGCACGTTTATTCAAATAAAAAATAAAATAACATGACTGTGGAAAAAGTGCATAATGTTTAAAATAATGTTTAGAAACGAGTAAAATTAAGTTGCTTAAACAATTATAAATAAAACAGCATCATGTATGTATGCATTGTTTAATACAAAGGGCCGAAAGCCAATCACACAGAGTACATGTATCGTTGCCTCATAATAAGAATTTGGTCCCACAACCCATTAATTTGTTAACTCGTTTTATTAAATTGTTGCCAAATTTGTACTAATTCATTCCCTCATTTAGATTTAATTAATTAATTAAGTTGTAGGTTGAATTCTTAATTTGTGGCCACAATAAATAGATTTTTGTCTGCATGTTATGTGCGGGGTTCTGTATATCACCCGTCTTATTTTTGTTCTAAGTATGTTTAAGCGAGTTTGTCATTGCACCGTTTCATTGTTGTTGTTGTTGTGAATAAGGAAGAATAATAAATTCACCATTTTCAAGAACTCAATATTCGAAAGCTATAAAGATGTAAAAATTTCCTCACCGTGGCATCTCTAGTACAGTGCAACAGTAGAATTGTCAATTGGTCGAGGTTGCTATACCATTTACATTGTGACAGATCTCCATTTTTTCCACTGATATCAGTACTCATGTTATGAATAGTTTTATATTCTGAAGGTCATGGAAGCAAATCAGAAGATATGAAAAAATCAGATGAAGTGATTATGAATTTTGTAATACATTGGGTTATTAGGTATTTCCACATTTAATTTTATATGTAAACCATTTGTTAATTGAATCACCATTTTTGGTCTTATTAGGTGCTCAAATGGAAGTTGACTATACTGAGAAACTGAACTTTAGTGATGATGAGGAGAACCATTCTGCTAAGGAGAAAGGCAATAACTGGTAAGCACTCATCTTTATGACTTGTTTTTATTTCATACAAAATGTTTTGGGGCATAATGAACATTGGCCCTATAAAACTTTCTTGCTGAAACACAGGCAGTGGATGACTAAAGTTGATCGCATGAGGTCAAGAAATGCTGATGTTCAGGAGGGATGGAAGGAAGGAGAAGAGGAGAGGCGTGACAGCAAGAGCTCATGGGCAGAAAGTGGAGGCCTCAGGGCTCCCTCACCTGGCAATATTGTCCATTATAGCAAGATCTTTCCTCCACAAGACCAACAGGTATGGCGTGCATTAAAAGAGTTGTCCTCTCTCTGATTTGACAAAGTTGGCTTTTTTTCCTATTTTTGCTTCATTGTGGTTTTGTGTAGGGCCAAACTGTTGGACGTTCTGTGGGAAGTGGTGGCCCCCGTGTTACAAAGCTACCCAGTACAGCACCCCCTGCTGGTGAGGAGGAAACGGAAGCGTGGCGACAGAAACGGAAGAAGCAGTCAGAGCTTTCGGAAGCAGTAGAACGTGCTCGCAGACGGCGTGAGGAGGAGGAACGTCGCATGGAAGAACAGAGACTTGCTGCATGCAAAGAGAAACTAAAACAACTGGAGGAGAAACGACGGCCTTCGACTACAGAAACTACTAAACCAACTACGCAAGCCCATGGTGATCACCAGGAAGTGACTGAAACTGTGCCTAAACCACCTGCTGAAACTCCACCCCCTCAGCCTCAACCACCACCTTCCCCTGCACAGCAACCCTGCCCTCCCATGCCAACCCATGAAAGGACAAAGCCCACTGTGGAGGAGGTGCTACAATTTGTTTCCCGACAACCTAGCCCTACTGTCCACAGGACTGCCCCAGAACCCCAAAGCAAGGTTGATACTGCTGTAACAGAGGAGGTGCATGGACAGGTGGAGAGACAACCAATGAGAGACTACTTCAGTGCTGAGGAGCCCAGAGGTAAATGAATGAAAATAGAAATCATATAAGCTATTAAAATTCTAAAGTGCATTAGAAAATTAGCTTGGGGTGCAGTTGATTTGCTTATACAGTTGACGTTTTGGTTGTAAATCTAAAGAATCATAAATATTTCAGCTGCAGCTCATGTAGATGACATGAACGTACCTTAATTCAGACTAGACTTGTGCCGGTATTCGGTAATGCGATATATCACGGTAATGAATATGCACGATATTGTTATCGTGTTCACTAGACCCTAAAGTACAATGTGAAAATAGACCAATTGTGGTAGGGTTTCGAAACTCTGGTTCGGACCAACCAAAGTAAGTGTGACAAAGAACCTAAATTAAGCTTACCTGGTTTGATGCATATTTTGAATAATTGGATGGATTTTTCCTGTAGTGTATCTGAAAAAATAGAGCATGGCACTAGCTACGCCAAGGTCATGGTCGATTCCCTGTCACTTTGGGTAAAAGGATCTGCCAGGTCTGTTTTTTTTTTTAATGCAGTGTGCTAGTTTAAGATTTAAAATGGTCTCATTTTTTTATCCCTTTTAGTTGAGGAGCCTCAGTTGTCTTTATCCAGACTCGATCATTCTGTCAGCGAAGATGCACCTCTTCCAACTAAACTGGAAAATGAGGGAGACACTGGGACTGCTGTTCGCTCTTCTGTCACCTCTGGATATTCAAAACAGTTCCAGAAGTCTTTACCACCCAGGTTCCTTAGACAACAGGTGCTCACACATTGTTCTGGCTTTAAGCATAAATGTTAGTTGGAACCCTGTAGATAATGAAAATGAGTGTTCTTTGTAGTAATTCCTGCTTTACTGGAATGTAATTTGTATTCTCTTAAATTCTTCAGGAACAGCTTAAACAACAACAGTGGCAACAGCAGCAGCAGGGTGGAGGGGGTCCAGTCTCTCCCTCAGGGGGTTCAGTTCCCCCTCAGCACAGATCCTTATACCAACCTCTCGGCCCCCACCACCAACACCTTGCCTCAATGGGCTTTGACCCACGCTGGCTAATGATGCAGTCTTACATGGATCCTCGTATGATGTCTGGGCGGCCACCAATAGACATGCCTCCTATGCACCCCGGTGTGTCTTGCAAACTAAAGCTGTTTTCCTTTCTAGAAATTTGGTAACAAAACCATGTACTGTAACACATTTACAAGATGCAGTAACACATTTTCACTCAATGTTGTTTTAATCTAATTCAGTTTTTCCTCCTTAGTTTTGCCCATTTTTATCTCTAGTCACTAGACATTACACCAAAACATTACATCTGACAATTTAATTTCCATAGTTTTTTTTTTTTTTAGTTCTATATGTGTGGTCTGTTTTAAGTTGTAGTAATTTTTGTATTTCAATACCAGGGAGAATGCCTCCTAAACAACTGGTACGACGAGAGCCCACAGACAACAGCAGCTCTGGATCAGACACTTTTGATCATCTGACCCGACCAATCAGAGAACACAGAGTTCCTAGTGAGCCTCGGATGGTCTGGGGTTCTGACCCATATCCCTCAACAGAGCCCCTGCCCTCTTCTGCAACCATTAAAGGGCGTGAAGATGGCAAGGAGACAAGGTGAGAGACTGCTGTTTTTTAGAGGTTTTAGAACAAAAATAGTTAAAATTTCTTAGTTTTCCTTAAAAAAGCCTTAAAAAGTCTTAAAATGTCTTAAATTCAGATTCAGTGGGTCTTAAATAGTTTACAATCATTGTACAGACTGAAGATTTTTTTTCCCCCGCTGTAGTTACCGCATCATCAGAGAGAATTGCGGTAGCAGAATACAGGTCGAACTAGCTTGCTGACCAGCCTCTTAGCTACATAAAAGGTCCACTGAAGTGCCTTTAAACACGCAGCGTTATTCTGTGTAATAACATGATTATAATGATGCTGCGGATGTGTCGTTTGGAAATTGTGTTATGTTGGTGCATGCCACCAGTGTTATCTCTTATACATCTTAGTGCTGTTTGTCTAACTGTTTCTCCTCCTAATCTCATCTATATCGCTATAAATTGCATTCTGTGTAGAATTCAAATGGGTCCGATATGTTTTCTGGTCTGTGCCGATTAACGCATATGATCCGCTCTGTGCTATTGTGCCTCTGGACTGGAGCAGACTGTGCGCGCTACGGCAGCTTGCATGGCACAATGTGAAACCAGACTTCTTTTGCCCCAAGGGAAAGCATATTTTACGCTGTCTGAATCATTCCCTATTAGGGTTGCAAAATTCCGGGAATTTTCAAGACTGGAAACGTTCCATGGGAATTAATGGGAATATATGGGAATTAACGGGAATAAACTGGAAATTTGCAAAATTGCAGGAACTGGGGACTTAAATGTAGTTGAGAAAAAATCTTGCAGCATAATCTTGGTTAAAACTAGAGCCCGACCAATATGGGTTTTTTGGGACCGATACCGATATTAGGGAGTTTAAAAAAGGCCGATATCGATATATATGCTGATATTTTTTGTGTATATTATAGTACAGTATCAGTCAAAAGTTTGGACACTTTCCCATTCGTGTGTCCAAACATTTGACTGGTACTATATATAGAATACAGTATATACATAAACAGAATATATATATACATAAATAGGGATGCACCGATACTGAACTCCTGTACTCTTACTCGTTAAAATGCCCCGATACCAAACGCCGATACCACACAGCATGTGATAAGCGCCATATTCAGACAAAGAAACACAGACAACAGACAGCAGAATGGAGTTATTAGAGATTAAGGATGTCCACAAAGTATATGTATGCAATGAATATAATGTTAAACATTCAGTATTAACGCCTGTATAGCTGATAAGCAAAGCGCGCTGAGTGGATTGAGCGCGCGGCAGCGCAGATGCGCGAGCTTGTCGAGTGATTATACCTTTCTCACAGACATCACTGGAAATTTTGTAGTTCGGTCGGATGTTAAAAACAAGTAAAACAATGCACAAGTTACTTAATGGTAGGGAGAGAGAGAGACAGAGAGAGAGAGAGAGAGAGAGAGAGAGATCGGTGCATCCCTACTTGTATTGAAACATTTTGCATTCTACCTATGATAAAACTTTCATGGTCTTCTACATTATCTGTTCCCTCCTGGTGGAATGACCTGCCCTGCTCAATCCAAGCAGCTGAGTCCTTAATATTTTCAAGAAACGGCTGAAAACACATGTCATCTTCATTTGACCCTCTAACTCTAGCACTCTCTATTCTAATGCTACTTCTAATTTTATCTGCTTGTTTTTTTTAATTAAAAAAAACTTGACCCTCTAACAATTGCACTCTCTATTCTATTTCTATTCTAATGGCCAATCCATCATTTTTTGGTGGGAATTTTTATTTATTTATTTTTTAATAAGTATCGGTTCAGGCACTGTTTAGGCACCGGAACCGTTTTAAAAGTATCGATTTGGCACCGGTATCGAAAAAAAAACAAAAAACGATACCCAACCCTAGTCACTGTATATTGTAATAATAAATAGCATTAACAGTGATGATATTTTTTCTTTTTACATTAAACACGTTAAATGTTACGTATACATATGTAATATAATGTGTATTTCCATTACAGGTTTGGTCTTAAATTTCAAATAAAGTGGTATTAAAAAGGTCTTAAAGTCCTAAACTTAACTTGTTCATATCTGTAGACACCCTGTTGTTAATCAAGTATTAAGACCTTTTTTCCCTTTTCCTTCTTAAAATAGATTGGATGCTGGTCTGGAGCTGGATAGAGGTCTATCAGGTGTCTACCCTCGGGACCATAGCCCACTTGAGCCCCGGGGCAAGAGCAACTTCTTCAGGGATTCATCTGAAACCTTGTCGTCTTTTAGTCATGTCTCGGAAGAGGTTCCATGTCTCCTACAGACTGACCGAGCACCAGTCATCCCTTCTTTTGAACCCGAGGAGGCTAACCTCTCTGGTGCAGATGAGGTTGAAGCCATTGGACAGGCTGTATTGAAACGGAGTATCTCTCAAGGCTCCAGTCACTCTCTGAAACTGGAAGAGCCCAGATTTGAAGGACTTACCATAGCACAGAAAACCCTGGACTTCCCTGATACTGTGGAAAGACAAGAGGACAAGTCCAGAAAGGAGCCTTTTGGACAAGGGTCTGTGATCAACAGCCGTTCCACTCCTCCTGTGGCTAATGATGGTATGCACAAAACCGACAAGCTTACTTTACCTGCACCCAGCAAGCAGAAGTCAGAGATGCGCTGGGGTTCCCGTGGATCCGGATCTGGAAGGAGAGAGGGTCCTGGAGGGGAGCGGCCAGTGAGGAGATCTGGACCTATTAAGAAACCCGTGTTGAGAGACATGAAGGAAGAGAGGGAACAGAGAAGAGAGAAAGAAGAGAAGCACGAACGATGGGAGCGATCCAGAAAAGAGGGTGCTGCTCCCAAAGGTGTTACTTCAGCTGCTGTAGCAGCGTCTGATGGACCGAAGCCCTCTGGTGATGGTAAGAAAGTTGTGGTAGAACCTGAAGTGGGAGTAACAACTGGTGGAACAAAGTCCAGAGATCTGCAGACAACTGTATGTCCTACAGCTGCATGTCTTACTGAGGATAAACCAGACAAGCCTCCATCTAATGACAAACGTCCTGAACCCAAACTACCATCTCGCAAAGAGTCCAACCTCCCTACCAGAGCTTACCGCAGAGACGAGAGGGAGCGAGACAGAGAAAGAGACCGAGAGAGGGAAAGAGATGTGGAAAGAGAGCAGGACTGGCCTTCTGATTTTAAAGGCCGTGGTCGGGGAGAGTACTATTCCCGTGGCCGAAGTTACAGAGGCAGCTATGGTGGGAGGGGCAGAGGTAGCCGTGGTCGGAGTCGAGGGGACTACCCATACAGAGAGCCACGGTCACGCTTGGACTTGCCATTAAATGCCACAGGGACAGCTAGTTTCCGCTGCAGAGAAGAGAGTGAAACCCGTAGCGAGAGCTCAGATTTTGAAGTCTTGCCTAAGCGCAGACGCAGACGAGGCTCTGACACAGACTCTGAAAGTGAAGGCAGAGAATCTGCCAGTGACACTGGAGCATCAGATCGTGAGCCCAGCTCCAAACCGAGCAGACCGCTCCGTTGCGAGCTGCCGGAATCTCGCTCCTCTAAATCTGCCTCTGGATTTGCAGCCGGAAATCTTTCTGAAAAACCTGGGTCTCGAGATGAGGATGGACGACCCAAACCGGGTTTTCTGTTAAAGGGTGAGGCCACACGCCGAGGCAAGGGAGGATTTCACAGCAGGCGAGGTGGTGGCAGGGAACGAGGTGGCCACAGATCTGCTCCTTTCCGTCGGGCCCCTGTAAAAGAGGCCTCACAGTGGCCCTCGAAGCCCATGGAGACCTTTTGGCCAGAGGAAGCAGAGACCTCGCGCACTGATGGCACCCCCTCTGAAAGACGGCACACCAAATATGACAACAAGAAGATCGGAGAGGGAGGACAAAACATACGGGAGAGGCCCCGGAGACCAAGGGCAGCCCGTCCTCCCAGACAGGACAAGCCCCCACGATTTCGGAGGCTTAAAGAACGTGAAGCAGCAGTGTTTGCTGTGGAAGCTATTCCTGGTGTGCCAGTACCTACATCGGTCTCCCCAACGCTGTCCAAAGTTCCTGGAACGCTGGTCACTTTGCCTGAGGGAGTGGCTGATACCAGTACAGCACCTGCTCTCACTCCTGATGTAACGCCCCCTGAGCTTCCTGTCACAGAGACAGTTGTTCCTGAAATGGGAGCCACCACTGTAGTTGCTGCTGGCAGCAAATCACCTGACTTGTCCAATCAGAACTCTTCTGACCAGGCCAATGAGGAGTGGGAGACAGCCTCTGAGAGTAGCGACTTCAACGAAAGAAGAGAGCGAGAGGACAAGAAGCAACTTGAAGCAGCCGTGACTTACACCATTACTACTTCCTCCTCTATGCCCACACAGATCTCTGGAGGACAGAGCAAATCACCCACAGAAAGTGTGGCAATCCCTAAACGGGAGATAGCCTTGGTAGCCAAGAGGAGCTTCTCTAGCCAGCGGCCTGTGGATCGACAGAACCGCAGAGGAAATAGCGGGCCTAAAACGGGTCGAGGGTACCCTGCAGGCAAGAGCGAGAGAAGGGGAGGATCTGGAGCCAAATCGGGACGCAGGGGGTGAGTCCTGAACTGTGTTGTCCCAGGAAGCAAAGAGTCTGAATTTTAATATTGCTGTTTATAGGTGAGACACATCTGTTATGGTTTAAAGCTGTGCTGTTAAACTCAGCTCACGGAGGGCCACTGTCCTGCAGAATTTAGCTCTAACCCTAATTAAACACATCTGATCCAGCTAATCAAGGTCTTTAGGAGTGCGAGAAACTTTCAGGCAGATGTGTTGGAGCTAAACTCTGTGGGACAGTGACCCTCCAGGAGCTGAGTTTGAAATCCTTTGTTTAAGGCAGGCACCACTTTGCTTATACTTCAAGAGTGCCTAGTCCTGCTCCTGGATGGCCAATGTCCTGTTGAGTTCAGCAACAGTTCTTAAACACCTAAACCAGCTAATCAAGTTCCTCAAAATTACTTGAAACATTCAGCTAGGTATACGGGAACACAATTGGACAAATCATTCTGCCTTAAAGAATTAAAGTTTAGAACAAAACTGGAAAAAATTCTTCCGTTTGAGGGCAACCAAAGCTATAGCTAGGGACCAGAATTAGGGTGTACTCTTACACCTGGGCCACCAAGAAATCCAGAACACCCTAATGAAAACATAACAGCCTCATAGCTGTCCACAACAGTTGTTTTAGGCAAGAACAACTTGCGTTTTCCTCAGACACTGTGAAAAGTAGTGCTTTTTCATGCTTTTCTAAACTTCATTTCATGGCAATCACTTCTATTATTCAGGCATTTATTTATAGTGGAGTCTTAGGACATTGAGTTCTGCAATTTTTTTTTCTTTGTTTTTTTTTTTAAATAGAGCTTTGTTTTGATTCAGCTGCGTGGGTGATAATTGCCTGTGAGTATGGAGGACCAAACCTGCAGAAATTAAAAATAAAGAAATAAATATGTAGATAAATAAAAAAATAAATGTAATAACAGGAAAATAAAGAAATAAATTACTTGATAAAAACAAATGTAGTTCATTTGTAATAATTGAATCCTGAATTTATTTATTAAAGGGTTAGTTCACCCAAAAATGAAAATTAGCCTGTGTTTTACTCACCCTCGAAGCATCCTAGGTGTATGTGACTTTCTTCTTTCAGACGAATCCAATCAGAGTTATATTAAAAATTGTCCTGGCCCCTCCAAGCCTTTCAATGGGGGTAAGCGGGTGTTCGGTTGTCAACAGTTCAGAAGACGTGAAATAAAGTGCGCGCATCTGTAATAAAATGTCCCTCACATGGCTCGGGGTGAATAAAGGCCTCCTGTAGCGAATCCATGCGTATTTGTAAGATAAATATCCATATTTCAAACGTAATAAACACTTTTCTATTACTTCCAGTATTCTGTCATACGCGGAAGGCGTTCCGGCGGATGATGTAGTACGTCAGCACTGCGTGATTAGTGACGAGCGTGGAGAGAGAACAAAACAAAACGCCGGTCACGAAATTAGAAGCACAAAACGAGGATTTGTAAAGAAAAATGTTGGAGGATTTCGATATAAGCCAAGAGGAAACTTTGCTTCCTTTGCTCCTGCATTTCTCAGAGGCGCACACACAGAATAATAGTCCTCCACTGCTGCAGTTGTACGGATTAACCCATTTTATCAATTTCATATTTTTCTTATCAAACAGACTAATGAATAGCTTGACACAACTCGTACCGGGGAAGAGTCTAGACAGGTCTTTCTTCTGTGTAGACCAGCGGTTCTTAAAGTGATAGGGGGTCCGAGAAATAATTTGCTATAGCCTAAAGTATTTCCAGACTGTAAAGTCGCTTTTTTTTATCATGATACATAGGCCTACTGTGATTTATTTCAAAGTGACTAATGGCGCTTTTCCACTGCGTGGTACGACTCTGCTCGGTACGGCTCAGTACGGCACGGCTCGGTTTGCGTTTCCACTGCAGTTTAGTATCGCTTTAGAGTGGGCGGGATTATTCACATGTCATTATAGTTGCGCTGCCTCTACTGCCGCGACTCCTAAAAAACTTTTTCATTCCGCGTCGCCCCATCAAGCTCTCACTGGATCCGCTCCTCTGCTATCAACGAGAGCAACGTCTGTACTTCCTCAACAGGGGGAACAGCCACTTTTCATTTTTCCACCCATGAATGAAAAATGAAAATTTAAGCTGAATTTTCGTTCTTTGGAAGTAGATGAATTCACATACCATAAAATAATTCGACATCATAATGTGAATCTGTGAAGATATATTGCAGCTCTCCAGTTGAACCCACAAACAACGATCTCTATCGTTAGTTTGATCTGTCCCTTCTGCGTGAGCTCTCAACCAATGATTGACAGGAGCTCCGCAAGGACCACTTCCCTCATTTCCATGTTGCACACGGAAGAGTAAAAATAAATAAATAAATCTGGAAATAAACACGTGTGAGAATAAATAAATATAAAATTATGAATGCATGAATAAATACATTTAAAAATAAATAAATATAAAAATAAATGCGAGAATAAGTAAATAAAAGATAAAAAGAATAAAAATAAATTTAAAAATAAATACATAAAATAATATAATACATAAAGGAAAAAAGGAATAAATAAATTCAGGGTTAAATTTTATTACAAATTAACTATTTGTTTTTATCAAGTCATTTATTTCTTTTTTTATTTTCATGTTATTTTATTTATTTATCTATATATTTTATTTATTTTTACATTTCTGCAGGTTTGGTCCTCCATATGTGACCCTGGACCACAAAACCAGTCATAAGCATCAATTGAGATTTATACATCATGAATAAATAAGCTTTCTATTGATGTATGGTTTGTTCGGATAGGACAATATTTGGCCGAGATGCAACTATTTGAAAATCTGGAATCTGAGGGTGCAGAAAAATCTAAATACTGAGAAAATTGCCTTTAAAGTTGTCCAAATGAAGTTCTTAGCAATGCATATTACTAATCAAAAATGAAGTTTTTATATATTTATGGTAGGAAATTTACAAAATATCTTCATGGAACATGATCTTTACTTAATATTCTACTGATTTTTGGCATAAAAGAAAATTCAATAATTTTGACCCATACAATGTTTTTTTGGCTATTGCTAAAAATATAACCCAGCGACTTAAGATTGGTTTTGTGGTCCAGGATCACATGTGTAAATTTGTCTTGACAGCCCTCCAAATAGACATTTATTTTTAGACTGTCTCTCACTCTAACTACTTTTATCTTGCTGTTTCCCCCAACAACCCTCAGATTCTAATTTATTACTGAGCTAATATTTTCTCTTGTTTCCTGCAGTGCTGCTGCTCAGAATGCAGAGGCTGGTCAGGCCAGTACGGGTCAGAAAGTTGGGAAAGACCCAGCGCCCAGTCGCCGGAAAGAGGAAGCAAAACAAGCTGTCAAAAAACCCAAAGAGAAAGAAAATGCTTTGTCTCAGTTTGATCTCAACAATTATGCCAGTTAGTGTTAAATAATTTTGTGTTTTTGATGCACCTTGAAGCAACATTTTTTCATATTCATGAATAAAATGAATTAAAAAGTTAACTAAAAATTAAGTAATATTTAGTAAAAATCTTTGCTAGCTAATTCGTTCCTAGCTATAAATTATTTGCAAGTACAGCTTCAATATTATTAAAATACTGTTATTTAATTACTTGGTCTTAATATTGGTAAACTGAATAATTTTGCTAATTATTTTTTTTGGATACTCATTTATCCTCTTTCCGCCCTTCCCCAGGTGTAGTGATCATTGACGACCACCCAGAGGTCACGACACTGGAGGACCCTCAGTCAAACACGAACGATGATGGGTTCACTGAGGTTGTTTCACGGAAGCAGCAGAAACGTTTGCAGGATGAGGAACGAAGGAAGAAAGAAGAGCAGACTGCACAGGTGAGGAAAGGAGGGAATGTCTTTAGTCCCATGCATTGTATCGAGGCAATTGGTACACAAGAAATCATCTCATCCGATGTCTCCGGCATCTGTTCTTATGCTGTGCAGAACTGGAGTAAAAAGGGCTCTGGTGAGAAGGGCAGGGGAGGTGGCGGTTCTAAACTCCCTCCGCGATTTGCCAAAAAGCAGCAGCAACAGCAGCAGCAACCATCAGCTCCAGCTCCACAGACCCAGTCTGTCCCTCAACCACAGCCAGCTATCTCTGTGTCGCAGCACAACCTGCCTGCCTCTAACCAGAGTACTAGCTCACCCCAGCCTCTTGAGGGTGCTGTGGCACCTCTGGCCCCCTCACCTGTAGACTTCGCTGCCAAGAGTCAAACGCACAACACCCTGGGTACAGAACTATGGGAGAACAAGGTGGCTGGCTCCACTGTTCTCTCTGATGTCAAAAAACGTAAGTTCCTCGCCTTAAAGCCATGTTTACATAACTTGCCGTTTTAGTTTAAGAAACTATTCATAGCCATTAATAAAGACCAATTAATTTAAAGCCAGTGAGGTTTTTCTTGACAAATATTTGTTCTTTGATTATTTTAACAACATGGTAACAGTTCTGCATCTGATGGTTATCGTATTTGTCTTGCTATTATAGTTGGACCTATCAGCCCTCCCCAGCCTCCATCTGTCAGTGCTTGGAACAAACCCCTTACTTCATTTACTGGGGCCGTTACACCTGAGGTGAGAGGGAGATATTTAAATTTTAATTAAAATGTAAAAAGTTTTAAACCAGCTGTTTTCCAAAATGCTATGTTAACTGGCTGACCAACACCATTTTTAATTTTCTGATCATTAAGTGCTGGTGTTTTTGTGGTTGTGTGTTTTAGGGTGTGAAAATGGGAACAGAAAGTGGGGTTGAGCTGGGCATGGACAGCATCCAGTTTGGTGCCCCGTCTTCAGCAGGAAGCACTGACAGTGACGGAGTGCCCGCCCTGCTAGAGAAAACCTCTGATAATAAACTACCCGAACCCAAAGAGCAAAGACAAAAACAGCCTCGTGCTGGACCTGTCAAACCTCAGAAGGTAGTCCCTGCTTTTGTCTCAAAGGACCAATGTGCAGCAGCATTTGCATCACATAATACAGCATATTTCCAAATGAAACTGGATATTTACCAAGACGTGGCACAGGACTTGATTTCATTGTGGTTTGGATAATGAGAAGTGGGCTGTGAAATTTGCTGTTCTTTATAATAAAGCAAAAGAGACATTTTGAAATGTGTTTATTTTAAATTAATATGCTGATACACAAAATAGAAGCATTTTTGCTAGTTGTCCCAGACTTTACAGATATTTCTATATAGGTGTATAATGTACATTGTTTAAAACTCAAATTTTCCTCCGTCAAACCTCAGAAGGTAGTCCCTGCTTTTATCTCAAAGGACCAATGTGCAGCAGCATTTGCATCACATAATACAGCATATTTCCAAATGAAACTGGATATTTACCAAGACGTGGCACAGGACTTGATTTCATTGTGGTTTGGATAATGAGAAGTGGGCTGTGAAATTTGCTGTTCTTTATAATAAAGCAAAAGAGACATTTTGAAATGTGTTTATTTTAAATTAATATGCTGATACACAAAATAGAAGCATTTTTGCTAGTTGTCCCAGACTTTACAGATATTTCTATATAGGTGTATAATGTACATTGTTTAAAACTCAAATTTTCCTCCTCAGTTACCTGACATCCCCCCTCCAGAGCACAAGGAATATAAACCTGGTCCCATTGGTAAAGAGCGTTCGCTCAAGAACCGTAAGGCTGCCAAAGATGTGCGTCAGTCCGATGGAGAGGTCCTGGATAAAAATGGAACTAGAGGCAGCCGAGACAGAGACTCCAGCTCACCCACTAAAGACAAAGTTCCTGAGCTGGGTGGAGACATTGAGGGCATGATTACTGCTCCATCAGCTGAATACTCCAGCATCTCTAAGGTGCAATTTAATATCCTTCTGCTTCAATTCTGTCATTAACACGATACCGGTCAAAGATTTGGGGTCAGTAAGTTGTTTTATGGGTCATGTGTCATTTTGAATGAACAGTTTTCTAGGTTTACTTTGTCATTTATTAATTATGCTAATTTTAACTTAATAAACTGTTAATTACCTTATTTCACAATACTGCTGTTTTTACTGTATTTTTGATCAAATGTATGCAGCCTTGGTGAGCGTAACAGACTTTTAAAAACATTAAAATCTTACCAACCCCAAACTTTTGAATGGTAGTATTTATATTATTGAAAAAATAGTTGTAGATAAAAGTTATTTTCTGACAATGTGTCTGTTTATTTTGCAGGAATCAGTGACTGACTACACAATCCCATCTTCCTCATTAGCTGACAACGTCCCCACTGCAGGGACCAAGATAGAGGAGAGCCTTGTGGCACCTGTTAGTGCTTCAGTGCTGTAATCGATATGCATGTGTGTAGGGTTTCTCTGTGTGTGTGTTCTGATCGCTTTTTTTGGTTGTTGGTTCAGGTGGCGCTCCCGCACCCATTGCCTATTCAGCGAAGAGAAGCCCTGCAGCAGAGCTCCAGCCTTGCCACAGTCTCTCCTGCTACTGTTGACCTCACACTTAAAGTAAGACGCACACACTGAATGATTCGTTTGAAAATCAGAATAAATTAGGGCTGCCCTCGACTAAGGATTTTTCTGGTCAACTAGTAGTCGTTATAATCTGTCATTTTAAGCATTAGTCGATTAATCGCACGTTTATTGATAAACCATTTAAATCATTATAATGAGCCTTTAATTGCCTACAAAACCTAATAAGCGCTCAAGCACACGCATAAAGCTTGCCACAGCGCACCGGCAGAAGCTATGATTATGAATGTGTCAGGGGAAAACAGTAAGGAGGCTGCATTAACATTTTAATAATTCACTGATAAACAAGTGCTTTCTTTGTTTAGGTTTAAGAGATGAAGTTGGCGACACTTACTCGTCATCTCCGCAGTAGTGATGCGCCTGTGTGCATGTTTCACACGGATTACATAATCTGAGAATATTTGTTTTCCATTTGAATTGGTTAATTTGAAAGTAGACATTTCACTCTCTATAGATCTATTTTAATGTCTGTAAGGCAAAGATATACACTGAGTTTCACGCTCGAGTTCACAGACCGAGATGGCAGAAAGCGCGTCCTGTTTGCTTTCATTATTTTACAAAAGTGCATTCTGTTGTTATTGTGAGTGCACATAAATAAACATAGTCTTTACAGATTTGAAAGATGTATTACTCTTATCTGTATGACCAAAAATTACGGAGTAGCCTATTTTAAGAGCAAGTGAGTGCACCGGCCCCTCCATCTGTCCTGCAGTGAGCGCTAATGTTCAGCTTCCACACAGACACTTGAATAGCAGACATTTATGTAGGTTAACATTAGATTAAGCAGCCATGTAAAGTTGCTAATACTTACATATTTCAGATGATAAGCCATATTTGAGGTCGATGAATGATTGGATGTCCTGCCCGATGTACTGTATTACCACAAAGACCAGCCATTAATGATCTGTCATGAACTGCGTGACTTCAACTGTGGATTTTTTATTTTCTAAGCGACTAATACAATTTTGGTCGACTAACGGTTAGTCGACTATTAGGGGGCAGCCCTAAATATGTCCATTCAAAATTCCTCGATTTCTCGATTTCTAAAAAATAAAATCGTGGCAAAACATTAAATTCGAATTAATCGATAAAATCAGAAAAGTCGCCCAGCCCTAGAATGTATAAAATCGCCTTTGTGCTGGTGTTCTTCAGCAACACGAGGTGATTCTTCAGAACGGTCAGCGGGCGGGGTTTCTGATCGGAGATGGAGCCGGCGTTGGGAAGGGCCGACC